AATAGCTTCTAAAGCAGTAACACAGTTATTAATTAATATACATTGGAATAACAATTTAAAAACAGGGTACATATTAAAAAAATTAAACATTTAATTATTTACAGCTATAATACCATATACTTTGTAAATTTATAAAATTTAATACATTTAAATTAATCAAGAATAATTAATTAAAAATTAGACAGCAATTACATGTAGACTTTTTTTCCAAAGTATTAAGTAGCCTAAGAGTCTAAACTATTCATAATTTGACTCACCAAGTTCAGCCATATATAAGTCTAATAACTTAGATGCATCATCAGATTGTTTAGCATCCTTAACACCTCCATTTTCCTAAAACAAACAAAACAATCAGGTAACCTTGTTTTTCATTTAATGTTATGCAAATATAAATACTACTTTTTACTGCACATTTTTATAGATTATCTAAACGGTTTAACAAAATTTCCAAGTGAATATYATATTATGTTATTTCTYCAAAAGTATGAAATGCACTTTTAGTAATCTGATGCAAAATAACATTTAATACAACTAGATACAATTTAGAATGATATTGCTTACATTTATTTATTTAAAAACATGAATTAATTTTGTATAAAAAAAACCTTTAAACTATTATTATTAAGTTTGTGGTATCAAAATATAATTTTTTTTCTAACTAGTTTTGATGTGATTAACTTGGCTGTTTTTGTACACTGCGAGAAAATTACTTCTTACATGATATAATTGAGGATTAACTTTTTGCCCTCTAATATTCTCTCAGTAAACAAAGGGCAGAGTAAAAATACAAATGCGTAAAATATTATTRAGGGCATGATAAAATAATATTTAAATAAAAATAGTCTCTGTCACATATTGTTTCAATAATATTGAATATTTTTATTGAAACAAAATTACCTTTGTAGTTTCTTCTGCGATTTTATTTGATGAATCACCAGCGTTTTCTTCTACTAAACTTTGCTTATCAGTTGATTTAGATTTTTTCTCTAAACATAAAATAAATCAATGGTAAAAATATTTTTATAATATCAAAAGGTCTTTTAAGAAACATATTTTAATTATTATAAGTCCTAGAATAATAAGCATCCTTATATTAAACATTCATATTTATTATTTTAAAAAGTAGCTAAGTACAAAATAAATTTTAATCATAACCAAACAAGTTAGTTTGATAATATTAATTTGGTTTTTTAAAACATTTTTGATTCTTATGCATATTTTAGCTTTTTGAAAAAGTTTTATATTTGTCTATTGAAAAAAAAAAATCTTTATGCATTTGTACTATCCTGATTAACTATATATATAACTTCACATATAGTCACATTCCAATACTTAAAAATTAATTTTTATCCATATACAATATGCATGGATATATATGTTGATCTTTTAGCTAATTGTCAATACTCAATAGATAACTGTTTTTAAATATAACATTTACAGGAAAATTAATTTTCCTGTAGAGTATTTTTACCAAAATGATAACTATAACAAGTAACAAACTTCATATTTCATACATTTATAATGCATATAATTCCAGGTTCTAATTATAGTGTATGAAAATGATATCTTATCAGTACTTAAGAGTACTTATCAGATATTTTTTAGTTTTAATACTTTGCTAAAAATACAATATAACAAAATCTATATCATTGAAAAGTACACTAGACAAATTAATGATGGGTATGCGGTAAGGATTAACAAACTAYATTATTTAATAATCTGAACTTACCTGCAACACCATCAGATGAAGTTGAAAGCTTTTTCTAATACAAAATAAATAATATTATACAAAAGGAAAATTATAAGGTTCATCAAATATCACAATTTTACCTTTCTTTTTTTATCTTTACTTTTCTTTGACGAGCTCTTCTTCTTCTTCTTCTTTTTCTTTCTTATATTGGTTTCCGGAGGAGTATTTTTTGAATATCCATACATAACCATGAGTTCATGAATAGGCATGTTACTTTCCTATACCAAAA